ACCAAGTCCAGGAGTCTTCTCAGAAGCACAGCTGGCTTGTCTGTTATTCAAAATGGAAGTGACACGCAGGTCTTACGTAGACCAATGGCATTCACTCATAAAAGGCACATGCCAAAGGCTACACGGTTGTTGTTCTTACTGTTTGAAAATCTTGTCACATGTGCTTACTCTCAAGTGCAGTGTTTTAAAATTCCCTGATTTTCAAGTACTACCACTGGAAAGGACAAGGTAAGATCTGTAAGTTTATGTTGTGGAAGGTAGATTAAAGACTTTGTAAAATCCCTCAGTCTTCCTCCCCAGATGATAGCAGCGAAGCCATCTTGCCACTCGGGTCACATTCACTCTTCAGACATTTCAGAAATATTTCTTGGACTCTTAATATATTAGAGTTGTTAAAAAAAACATGGAAAGTGTGTGCCATGAAAGCAACTATGCATGGACTTCAACATGTTATTTTTAATCAAAATGAGTTTATCTTCTAATTTTCCATGAAATTTTGAAATCCTCACTATGCAAGAAGTGAAGGCAGTGGTGGCACCTGGCTGTTGATGATACTGATTCTGAGCCTTGGGCATGAGGTTGACCTGTGAGGTCTCAGTCTCTTGGGTGTTTCTATGATCGCCTCCATGAAAATGCCTTTCCTTGATGTACTTGCACCAAACAGAGCTCCCAAGAAGCTTCTCTCAGCATCTTCTCCAGAAGCACATGAACTTCCTACCCGAAGTTATGGAGAAAATGACATGAGGCTTCCCATTCTTCTCTAGGAGTCTCAGCTCAACTGTTCACATAGGCCACGTTAGGATTAGCCAAGGTTCACAGGCATGAGGGCTTAAAACCATCTGAACTTCTCTCAGCTGACAAACCCTCAAGGAGATATTCTGAGACTGTGGATACACTCATGCTCTTCTCTCTTTGGAGAAATAGCTGGTGAATCAGCTGGTATTCATCTGGACGGGTGCTCACACAGCCCAGGAGTTTTCCTCCAGTTCTCAGCTCAACCGACTATGGGCTGAAATCTCCCACAACCATCAGTGAAGCCAACTCTGGTTCCTGCAGTGAAGTAGACTCTGGCATGCCCTGTTCTCTCCTTGTCAACATTTGTCCTATTACATTGCAGGTCCTGTTGGGAGAGATGCTTTTGGGGAGGGCTAGGTCATAAGGTTATCCCGTGGTGCTGCCGCCTCATGGATGACCTGGGTGCTCTTCATTAAGGACTGGCTGATTATGAGACCGAAACCTGAGAGTGGCTACGCAGCACCCAGCTACGTAGACCCAGCACTCTAGAAGATTCTGTGGCTTTTCCTGATCATTTCTCTTCATCATGAAGTTTGGACTTGTTCACTCGAGTAATTATATTGTCAGAACATTGTTTTGATCTTTACTTCCACAGGCAGCTTCTGTGTAAGAACTGGGATTGATACAATCAGACAACTTTCTTGAACTCTAGTAATTTTGTGTACCTAGCATTTTAAACAATCAGATTTGAGGTGGAAGTCGGAATTTTACAAATGCAATCAGAAGCTGGCATTTCCCACAAGTGTTTTGAGACTTTGTAGACAAGGGGCATTAAGGCCAAAAAAAAAATCATAGAATTGGTCCAAAATGTTAGCAGTGTTTTGGCAGAAATAGGAAACAATTAGACATCTTCTTAAATCTAACTATGCCTCTCTGTGTCCTCTAAAGACATCAGAGTTCAAGTCCCAGCGTTAAGGGACAGATAAAATTTCGGAAGCACATCTAAAAACATGTTTTTGATGGTACAAGGCTGACAATATACTTGAGAAGACACCCAAATGATGCACTAGGAAAGCTGGGTTCTCTTTACACAGATGGGGATACAGTGTCAAGCAAACAAGAGCAAGAACAAAGAACTCCTTTCTCTTGGTGGGGTTGCTTTAGGGGCAGGTGACTCCATTATGAGCTGATGGGTGTGCATTCCTGTATGCAGGGCAGGAGAGGGCTGGAATTATGTCACCCATTGGGACCTCATCCAGCCAAACCATGCTATGATTCACAGAGAAACAGAGTCCCCAAATAGCCACAGGGTCATCTTCCCCGCGGGGCTTTCCCCAAAGGCCTTCCTTCAAGATGCAGAAACAAGTAATTCCTCACGTAAGGACTCAGGATTCAAAGTATAGTGTGCTCACTGTTCAATAAAAATACTATCACTACAGGGGGTGCCACTGTCAAATTCCTTGGTATTATGAAAACCAACTTTTCAGAGAGAAGGGGATGGCTTCCAGAAAAGACAAGGTGGGCTAGAGTCTCTCAGAGAAGGTATTTAATTCCTGTTACAACAGAGCTCTTGGAAACATCAGGGGAATCAAAAGTTTCTTATTCTGGGGACTTGGACACAGGAACTGACAGCTCCCATCTTTTAAAAATTTTGAGCTCCTCTTCTAGGGTGACCAAGTCATTTCTGTTTCTGGAGGGCGGTAGTGTGTAAACAAACAGGCTGTCTTCTCTTCCACCTCCTCCACACGGAGTTCCCTGAATCAACACCATGGAGATCAGTTCCTTTTGCTATGGGGAATAGTGTCCTTGTGGCAGCAGAGGTGCTAGCTGCACAATCATGACTTATTGTACAATAATGCAAGGTGATACAGGAAAAAATGTAACACTCCAAGTGTTCAACTTTTCCCATCAACAGATTTTTTTTTCCTCTCCTAAATGACCCTCACAGGGAGTAAAGTTCCCTAGAAACTTAACAAAATGCTTCTTATTACCATCAAAGATTACAAGGGGATTTCTTCTCATTGCTATTAGTAAGGAAAAGAAAGCATCCATGGAGGTTCCTCTAATTGGCAATCTCCACTTTGGACACCCTACATCCTACAAGGTTACTGCAATGCCTGGTAGCACCAAGGGGTTTAGTTTCTCATAGGGATGTAACTGGCCACAAGCAGAGACCCATGGGGGGAAGGGAACCATGCGGGGAAATTAGACAAAGACAAAGAAAATGCTCAACACACAATGAAACGTGATGGATTGCCGGGCCCAAATCCTTTCATCTGAGCCATTACTGCTGCTCCGCTATCTCTCCACTGTCCTGTGGCATTTTTTCTGGTATTAGGACTGCCATTCTTCCTGTCATAGCATGCACAGTAACCCTGTCTCATTTCTAACCTGCAGTGCAAAGAGTTTGTGCACCTCAACAAGGACTGTGTTCTTAGGGGCCACAGTGTGTGCAGGAGAGGACACCTGGGTTTCCTGGCATGACAATGCAAGGGATCCTGCTATGAGCCAGGCCGATGAGCATGCATAGGACAGAACCGGAAGGCAGCCCACTCTTGACCCTGACATGAGTCACCTACCACTGGATCAAAGATAATCTCCCAGGAACCAGGCCTGGGTCTCATTAGGGGGCTTTGGGACAGTCCTAAGGTGCTGTGATGCAAACATAAGGTAGCTGGGGGGCAGGTACAGTGACCGCGGTGTTCTGTCATGGGGAAATGACAAGGCAGGGTGAGTGTGGGCCAGAGCCAAGTGGGTGAGGATCCTGGAGTGTGACCAGAGGAACCAGACATAGCCTCTGGGGACAGCAGCCAATGCCTCCGGAGAAGACCTCGCCCTGGCTGGGCAAAGCCACAGAGTAAGTAGCTAGCAAGGAGAAAATGGAGCCTCAACTTCCTGTTCCTCCTCTCTAAAGCAGACAGGACCTCAGGTCTCTCAAAGAGAGGAATTAACTTGTAGGCTTTCATGGGCTGTCGAGGAAGAGGCTTTAACCTGTTGTTTCACATGTTGCAAAGACTCAGGGAATGGAAGCCCCCATCATTATTAATGTCAACCAAAGTCAGGGTTTACACAGCCATGCTATAGGTTGTGCAGGCACCCAGGATAGAACCTAATGGCAGGCTGCAAGATGAAAAGAATGAAAAAAAAAAACCCAAAACCAAAAAACAAACAAACAAACAAAAAACTCTCTTGGCAAATAAGAGGCAGGTCTGTTTGCCTAAAGCTCCTTTGTCCTCAATAGCTTCAGGACTTGTCTTCCAGTTCCTATAAGACCTAAGAAGTAGCTTGTGCCAGCTGGAGCAGCACCCAGATTCCCTGCTTTCTACAGCCAGCCATGTGCTCACCATCTGATCACAGCCCTGCTTAAAAAAAAAAAAAAAAAGGAAGGGGAAGAAGTTAAAAACACACATACATAAGCCAGCTGATTCAATAAAGAGCTTTTGGGGAGTGTTCATTTCAGGATAATAAACCAAGCAAAACGTCTGGCTGTGTTTAAAATCAACAAAAGCAGCAGGAATGGCAGCAAGAAGGGAACAAAGTGATCAGCTTGTTTTGAAGGCTGCCAGCGGTGCTGCTTCAGCGGGGGCTGTAGGTGAGGAGCCCCCAGAAGAGGGGGAAGGAGACACAGGAGACAGGCGTTTTGTCCAGGCCTGGCGGTGGATGGGGCCTTGGAGTCAGAGGAGGAACTTCTCTTAACATTCTAGGCCTCTTGGGAGCTCTGGCCCAGGAGGTCAGTGCAAGTGGAAAGTTGGGGGCTAGGCCGGTATCATCCCAGCTAGATCAACAAGCAAGCATTAACAATGGCTACTTGTCCTGACTCTGCCAACAGGAGCTAGCCTGTGGTAAGCTCTCCACACATGACGACTCCCGTCACTGGGATGAAGCTGAACTCAGAGGAGCAATGGGACATGGCTTTTCTTTCCTGGACACAGAGCTTCTTACCAGGAAGCTGAAGGGCATGGAGTCAGGGAAGGGACAGCTGATGTGCTAATACGCAAGCAAACCTGGCAGTGGGTCAACTGCTACCTGGGAAATACAAACTGGGAGCAAGAAGTTTGAAAATGCCAAATTGTAAGTTTAAATGCCACGGATAATGAGGACAAGCTAGACTTAATGTGACCAGATGAAAGGACATTGGTTCCCATTTCTTCAAGTCATGCGGATGCAGGCCAGCCCAGAGATGCCCAGGATGGGGTGGGGGTGGGAGGAAGCCAAGTATCCTGCAGACCAGAGGAGGGACACCCCAGGGCCTTGGCCCACCATACCGATGGTGCAGTGCTCGCCATTCCAGCCGGGGCTACACTCGCACTTGCCGTCACGGCAGGTCCCATGCTCAGCGCAGCGTGGGTGGCAGGCCCGCTGGTCGCACGCTGCCCCCATCCAGCCATCCTCACAGCGGCACGTGCCCCCCACGCACACACCATGGCCCCCACAGTCAGCAGCACAGATCTCTGTAGGGAAAGAGGGAAGACAAGAAAAAGCAAACATTGAGCAGATTACTGGTATGGACAGTACCACTCAGCTACCTTCAGAGACTTCTGGGAGCAGTCAGCATTCCAGAGGCTTGGGACAATGGCCCTCGGTCAAGGACAAATCTCTGGGCAGAAGCCTGGCCTTTGCGTCCACGTGCAACCCAAACAGAAGGGATGGAGGAGCTCTGCTCGGCTTGCTCATCCCTGCTGCCAGCTTGTCTGCACTTCTGTGCTTGTCACTTCCAAAGGGGACCTGGCTTCCAAGCATAGGAGAGAAGTCAAATTTAATTAAAAACTGGTTATGTGTGAAAACAGGGGGAGGAGGTGTCCCCACAGTCAAGTGGAGTGCTCCTGGGTCTGGCTGGGGCCTGTGTGTCCTGACAGGCGGAGGTGGGAGATGGCCAGCCCCTCCTCCCCGGTGGTGATGCCCTGGGCTGCCGTCCCCAGCCCGCAGCTTGTGCTGTGCTTTCACTGGGCTGGTTCTCTCGGCTCCGGCTCATTGCTTCTTCACGCTCAACACCATCAAAATGGGCTTGTGGATCCAAAGCAAACAGCTGGGAAGGGGGAGCACTTCATAGCCGGAGTGGGGTTGGCTAGCCCCTCACAAAGGCCAGTCTGTGCCATGGCGCACAGCACACAGTGCCCAATTCACAAGCCCTTCAGGTGGGCGCCAGGCCAGAGACTGCTTCAGGCTGGCTGCAGGCAGTGGCTGGGCAGGAGACATCAGGCAGCTGCTCCATAGGACATGTCTGCGGCTGATGCAGCCAGGAAGCGTGCTGGAAGTCCTGACTTGGTTCTTCCACCACTTGGCCCAGCAAGTCTTCAGATGCCTTATGAGAATCCCAGCATTGTTCATTTCATCCAAGCCAGCTTAACTGGCACCCACGTCAGGCTGCCTTTGCCTTTCATTCCTTTCCAAGCCGCTCTCCTGGTTTAGGAGAGGCTACCATTCCAGCTACTTGGTGGGGGTTGGTGGATAGGGAGGACGGGGGAGGAAAGCAAACAAAAGTAGGTCTCAGAGGCTCAGATCTTTCCTGGCAGGCTGGAAGACAGTGGATAAAATGGTTGAAAATGTAAAAACGTGGTGGAAGCTTTCATTTGTAGTATGCTGCTTGACCAGACACCCAGCTGAGCACATGTCCTCAAAAGGAAGGTATTTGCTACCTGCAGTAACACAAGAGACTGTTCCAGCTGCCCAGAAGAGGCAGCAGCTGCCGGAAAACAGAGGCAGACATCTCTGATGCAGAGCTGGGGCCCTGGGTTCTATGCTATGTTCAGGAACTTGTGAGCTGTGTAGTTTCACGGAGCCACAGTTCCAGGTCTGGAGGCCAGGGCAGGGCAGCTGTGGGAGCATGATGAAGTACCCTCATGGTTTTCATTCAAACATGGTGCCTTCTCTGACAAGTCCACGGAGATACACCTTGTGGTCATGCATTTGCTCTCTTCCTTCCCATATTACATCATAGGAGCCTGTCTTTGTGTCTGTCCTTGCATCAAGTGAGGAATAACTTGAGGCCGGGTCTCATGCCTCTGATTTCCCAGCTCCCCCTTCCCAGGTCCTCAGCACACATTCTGGCACAAAACCCATTATGAAGCTCTGCTGGAGGATCAGCATGTGCCCAGGGCTGGAGTATCTGAGAATGGAAAACGATGTGCACACAGCACCCTCCACGCACCCCTCTGCCAAGCTTGGCCACAAATCCATCCGTGCCCATCTGTCAGTTTCTCTCTTGTGGCATGAAGGTGGGACTATGGATCCAAGTAACACTGCATTCACCAGCCCTTCAGCACTTGGCTCAAGGTGCCTTCCATTCTGGCTGACCCAGTGCCTTGGATTCCTTAAGACAGTAAATGACAGCCTCCTGATGGCTCTGGAGGCTGGCTCCTTAAGACAGCAAATGACAGCCTCTGGGTCTCGAGCCATCCTAGGCACAGCCATGGTGAGGGCACTGACCTCTTGATGGCTCTGGAGGCTGGCCAGGCCTGGGTTCGGGGTAGAGCTCTCCCCAAACCCCAGGAACCCTAGCAGAGAAGATGAGCTTGAGCACTAGGTATTTGCTGGAGTTTACTTAGCACTTTCTCCAGGTGGCAGTTTATGGTGTGAAAGTCAACAGCAAACAGCACTTCTATTGACTGAGGTGTGAAGTGGGAGGGTGCTGGACTGCTGGCAGTAGCACACCTGGAGTTCATCAGGGACAAGAGCAGAAGAGTCAGGCTTCTCCTTGCATGTAACTGTCCAGTTACATGCACAGCTAATGTGTACCTTGCTCTATTGTTAAATAACTTGGAGGCAATATGGGCACAGGAGAGTAAGTCTTGGAACCAGATGCAATTCCAAATCTCAGGTTGGCCAGCCATGAGACCTACTCAACAGGTCTGCACCACTGTTGTTCTCTATGATCGGGGTGATGGCAGTACCTGCTTCAGGAGGCAGCAGCCTCTGATGCAGCAGTGTCCATAGATCCCTACCAAGTCATTTATTATTTGAATAATCTTCCACATGTGGTTGCTACATGTCTGAGATTGTGCCTATGGCCAGAGGTACAGAGATCAGGGTCACATGGGCACCAAGAAGTTTTTGCTTGTTGTGACTATACTGTTGGGACAATACTGCAAGATTTTCGAAAGGAAATGGAACCTCAGAGCAGGCCAGGACCAATCATGTTCCAAAGCAGGATTTCCTCTGGGGAAACCCAAGTTATTCCAGAAAAAGCCCTGCCATCATTCCTGGACCCCAGTTTCTCTTATGGTGCCTCCTTATCAGATCCTCAATACATGTGCAATGAAATGAGATCCTCTATGCAATTATCCAGACACCTCGTATTACTCTGTACCCTGGAGACAGTGGATGTGCATCCTAGAGCCTGGTTCTTTGACAGTTCACTCTAGACACAAAGCTATAGCAGCTATGGCCTGGGTACCTCTCTACTAGCCTTTACAAACTTGGGTGTGGGCCTCCCTTTTTAATGGGAGGACCCTGAACACAGTGACCTGGATGTTTATGGGGCACATAATCTGGGAGCACTCAAGTTCTTCCCTGTAGAGGGGCTGTCTGATTGAATGGAAGAAGCCACCCATTATAGTGGCGAACCCGATATGCCATTTTATCATTTGGCCTAGTTTCGGTTTTTCAAACAGCTCACTTTCCTCCCTGCTCGAGATAAAAGGCACAGCTTCATTTTTCCTTCTCCGATTCTACACTGACATTAAAACAGATTTAACTGGCCAGTGTGGGTGGCATGAACCAAACAGGAGATGTTCCAGAGAGCTCTTTGACGGCTCACGCGCCTCTTACATAAATAATGTAAATGGTCCTTTATAAAATTTGGGTCACTGCTCCTTTCCGAGTCCCTACTTCCACCTGCGTAAGCTGAGGATGACGTTGTCTGCTCTAAAGGGGAGCTGTGGCAATGGCTTCTGTTTGGCCCATTCTATAGGTGCACACTATACCTAAGTCTTGCAGTGGATGCCGAGGACTCAAGGTCATGACCACACAGACAGTTCTTTTTCTGACCTCAAGGAGTTTCAACTCCAGCACAGCATGTGGATAAAACTCAAGTCTATTACATTATTATACTCAAAGAAAACGCACTAATGAAAGTGAAGCTTCTATCACAGTGCCTGGGGCAAGTCAGGATATAATAAATGACACAGATTTTCATAAAACATAAAATGAGATGTAATGACAAATACACTAAAGTCAAGATCAGATGGAATTATTTTTTAAAGAGAGAGAGGGAGAGGGGGAAAGAGCAATGAAGAGAAAGAAGCAGAAAGCTATCTAATATCTGGTGATTTACTCTCTAGATACCCACAGTAGCTAGTGCCAGTCCAGACCAAATCCTGGAGTACTGAACTCAGTCTGGGGCTTACAGTAGGTGGCAGAGACCCAGGTACTTACGCCATCATCTGCTGCCTCCCAGGGTGTGTGTTAGCAGGAAGCTGGGATTGGGAGCAGAGCCAGAACTGGAGCTCTGGCACTCCAATATGGGATGCAGATGTCCCTAATGACGTTTTAATCGCTGTGCCAAATGCCTACCCCAGACATGAATTCTGACATCTGCAACACACCTGACACAAGGCAGCATTTGATAAATGCTCATTGACTTGCAAAGGATCAAAATTAGAGCTCTCTGACTGAATGCTGGAGGGCTCGGGCATATTGGGAGGAATGTGTTGATACACTATGGGGTTTACAAGCCATAGAGCAGAATAGACTGCAGATTATGACCCCTAACCTCCGCTTTCCAGCTGTGGGTCCCTGGGGAAATCACTAAATCTCTCTGAGCTGTAATGCTTTACTCCTAAAATGATCCTGCAGGGGTAGGAAACCGTTTCTTTTTTCCCTACCAGGGTCCATTTGGATATTTACCTCCTTCGCAGCCCAAACACAACTATTAACTTAAATTAGCTTACAATAGATGCATTGCATTTTGAGTACCACCTATGGTTGTGCTGGCGGGGCCAGACCAAATGATTTCATAGGCTTTCTATAGCACACATTGACATGCCCCAGCCCTGCCCTGCAGGGTGGGTGGTGACACCTGAAGGAAATAGTATAGATGAAAAGCTCTATGTTGTAGCTACACAAGATGGAAGAGGAGCTACATAATTCCAAGTTGCAGGAGGGAAACACTTTTCTGAAGAGTAAAGTACTTGCTTTGTGAAAACCAGACTTAAATTTTGGGCATCCCCTGGCATGGCGCCATCAGCCATGATAATCAAACTAGGTAGAAGTCATTGGTGGTTGTAGCTGGGGATTCCTCTTAAAATCTGGTAAAAATGTCCAACCCTCCTAACACCCTCATTCTGAACGTTGTCAAGTTCTTCTCTGAACTCCGCAGGGCCTTGGCGACGAACCCAGTCAGGTCCAAGAACACATGAGCTCTTCTCCTGCAGAAAGTCAGACCTGCAGCACTTTCTGTTGCCCAGCTCACCTCTTCCCTGCTCACTTGTGCATTCTTCCTGTTCTCTTTAGG